TCTGTACGGGCTTTAGGCCACCAGATCTGGCTGGTTAGAGGGTGCAGGTGGTAGCCCGCCCTTCCCTACCTAGAGGACATGCGCGAGCCCTCATGCTGGTGGCTTGTTGTGGTTCCCTGCGGTGGATGCATGTCAGATTTAGCGGTCGGCCAGATCTGGTTCGACACTGAGACATGGTGGCGGTCCCTATGTGGTGATGGCACAATTGTTGTGCAGTGGTGCATGGGTCAATGGAGATGCTAGTTGGCGTTGGTTAACCGTGTGGGAATGGAGGTTTTGCTGCTCTAGGAGGAAGCTTGTTCGATGTTGGTCGACCGACGGTCCCTGTGGGCATCACTTTCTTCCTTTGAGGCGTCGTCGGGGAGATTAGTGCATCCTCAACTCACGTGTCAAGATCTTTGGGTGAAATGCATGATCATATTGGATCAGGCGGCGGCTCCGACGTTGTTTTCCCTCTTAAGGGCACCATCTTGGTGATCTTGGCCTCATTTGTGCTTCATGCGGGCTGGGCGTGCATGGCATCACGGTTGGCGGGTGCCTGACTGGCGGTGTGGGAGATTGATGTGGCGGTGCTACTTGTGTGGCAACGATGTTGGTGGAGAGCAGAGCCGAGTCATGGCTTACCCTTTTGATGTCGACGGTCCGGTGCACCAATGGGTGTGCCCATGTTGGTTTCTTGCTGTGACAGAGAAGTTGGAGCTGCAGGCGGCAGTGCCACTGCGGCAACGATGACTCCATGATGATGGTTTCAAGCGGGCAGTGTTCTCCGGATGTTACGCTGGACTAGGTTGGTGCGAGTTTTGCAACTTTCTCCTGTGAAGCTCTTCGGCAAAATCAGAATTGCCATGGCCTCGACGCCCCGGTCGACACCTCTCGACGGTTGGTAACTTTGTGCTTGTCCAAGGCGAAGTGGAAGTTACCTGATCTGATATGATGGATGGTGCCGATGACGTTCTCGGTTGGTGTTGATGATCCAATTGTGTCGTTGGTTGTGTAGTGATCTTGTTGTGTTGTGACCTTGAGGTTAAGAATAGGGCCCTCGTCAACAAATGGTTGTTTAAATTACTGACGAAAAACGGTGTATGGCAAACCCTCCTAAGGAGGAAATATGTGGGTTCCAAGGAGGTGTTCCAAGTATACTGGAAGCCTG